TACTGACAGATGATACTACAGACCCAAACATTCAAAACATAGAGCTGATATGCCAAGATGCAAACACCCTATTTTTTTTTCATATGTTTAATATTTCTGATATTTCTGACTATGCCAATGAGTGCAAATACTTCTAGAATTAGAGATACATTGATTATAACCATAGGTAGTAAGTGCAGTCTCTTGGGTATGGCCCTTTATGTGAGTTATTCTGCTAAATATCTGCAGAACTTTCTTTTCTTTTATCCTTTCTTTTATGTGTAGTTTGAATAAAGCCACTGTGACAGAGCACATGAGCAGAAGCTGAGACAGAAGTTTGCAGTTGTGGTTGAGAGTTTTTAGATCAATATTAAACTTTATACAGTTAATGTATAAATGATGCTGTTAGAAAATACTAGTCAGAATACATGCTGAATTCTAGACTGCTTTAGGAAAACGAATTGATTTGCTGTTTCTTTTCTGATCATGTACTTTAAATCCAAACCTTTTTCATGATGACACTCCTGCTGTTGCTCTCTCTCACACTGCCAGCAGAGGGAGGTGCCTTTCTTTAGCTGTTTCATACCTGTGACAAGTAGCTCAGCTGTACTAGTAGCTTGCCCAGATCCATTGGTGGCTTGTACGGTGTATCTTCCACTGTTTGCTTCTGTCACGGTGGGGATCACCAGTTTAGCGCGGCCATCACTAAACGAGATCTGCACACCGGGCATAGTTGCAGCAGAAAGAACCTGGCCATCCCGATACCAGTTCACCTCAGGAACTGGGAAACCTAAAGAAAAAGGAATACAAGAGGAGATTAAGATTCTATGAAATGCGAGGTATTGAAAATTACCATAATACTCGCTCACGTATGCACAGTCACAGTGGAGTGCAGTGGCATAGGCACAGATACGTGATTGTAAGTCCAGTGACACAGTGGTAAAGGAATTTCTTTTTAGAAAGGTCTTTAAAATACAAAGAGCAATAGGACAACTGCACAGGCTACTGAATTTAGGAAATCACTTGAATAATGACTGCACTGTATGAAATTATGAGGGAGATTAATTAATGCACGTGAGAATTTTTTATTTATCTGTTAGTATCTAAGCAGTATTGTTTATTGCTAACAAACTTATCCAGTCCAATAGTTTGGAGACAAAGTAAAAATCAGAACTTCTGACCAAGTTAAGTAGTTGTTCTAACACTAAACGATGTAAAAAATGAAGTGGCAGAAATAGTGACTGTTGTAGACACTAACATCAAGTGCTATTAATGTTTTGGGGGATTTGTTTCTTTTTTCCTGGAGTGAATTCTGTTTTAGTTTGGTATAAAGCAGTCAGCTGGAATCAGCTGACCTTATGTTGTTCAAATATATTACTCTTTTTTTGCCAGGGTCATGAGCAAGACTTTTCTTGTCAAGAGTTAAACATATATCTACAGCTGGTTTTTTAGCTTTAAATGGTGTGTTTAGATTCCTAATAAAAATTCTGTTCACGATGTTTTACGCAGCCAACTCCATTGAGCAACTGAAATCCATTTGACAAACAGACAATGTTTTTAGACAAGCCATATAAGGAGAACAGTTGATTTAAGGAGATAGTTCCAGCTCAAAGGTTTTTTTGTAGACCTAGAGCAACATTTCTCCAAAGTAAAAAACCCTTCAAATTTACTTCATGTACTTCTTCACTGAAGCCAAATCACCAATTGCACTGCACAGAGGCTCAGGAATGAGATCTAAAACTGCAACTGCAATTGCAGCTGCTCTAATTTTTCCATTTCCACTCTCTGTGGCTTGGAAAACCCTAGGACTACAGAATTCTGCTTCCTTTCTAGATTACCTCTCCTATAAATTTGTTTAATTATCTGGGGGTTTAATGTGCCAGGAATATGACTGTGTGAGACTAAAATGAAAGGAAATCTGAGAAATGTAGTTTGAAGCTTTTACCGGCTGTCTGCAACCATACCATACTTGGTTAGCAAAGTTTTAAATTTTACTCATAGTTGAAAAACTGATTTTTAGATATATGTAAAATAGAAGCACACACAGAAAGAGGGTGTTGCCAGTTTTAGAGTGGATTAGAAATCAAAAGGGTAAAAGTACATTTAAGCAAAGTTAATTTCACATATGGAAGTTAACAAACAGCTCTGATGGGGCTGGTGTAATTTGATTTTGTACTACTAGTGTAGGGCAAGTTGAACATTATCACCATAAATATAAAGTATCCAGCAGATCCCACTGATTTCATCCAGAGCTAACATTTCTTCAAATGAGTTTCAAAATGCTTAGGCTTGGCAACCAAAAATCACATTGTCAATAGAGAATTTCTTGAAACCAAATGTTTTATTTTCTTGGTGCAGCATCGTATGATGATTAGCAAACATGGGGTTTGTGTGGTAGGTTGAACAAAGCCTACATTTTAAAAAATTGAGTCTATTTTAATGTCTCAAAGTCATATGCTCAAGGGATTCAAAATTAGAAACCATTTTGAAAATCTGAGGCCAAACTCATACTAAAAGAAACTGAACTTCACAAATTTACTAGGACTCTGCTAATTCTGTGCCACACGGCTAAGGACTAAAAGGTAAGATTTACTTCAGATTATGGATATTTTTGACTGGGCTATGTAGAGTAAGGACTTACTTTAAAATGTGCCAAATGACACTATGATTTGTATATTAATTATCAGGACATTATTTTCATTTTTAAAACTGTCCTTAAGGTTTTTGAACTTTATTGACAAAATGAAAAAAATCAACCTGATGGGCCTCAAATTCACTAATTTAGTAATTGAATTCACAGACAATGTTCTGGCAATGATGTAAGTGAAAGGAATTGCCAAACTGTGTACCATATACGTGTTGCTTTCAACGATACGTGGTGTAGGGCCATCTTACATTGGGTAATGCAAAATTCAGAGAAAGTTGAACTGATATTTTCAGTACCCAGCTGAAGTGGAGTACAAGGTTAGTTGTTTGTGAACAGATTCAATACCTGATTAGTACTGTGGAGACATGAGGGTGGGCACAGTTCTACTGCCATCAGCGCTGCAGACTTTCTTGACAGTGAATTGCTGCCTTATGTCGCCTCAGTAACTGCTCATCCTGTAGGGCTCCCCCTGTGATGATGTGCTAGCTGCTCTGGCAGTTACTGCTTTTAATCACAGGTTTGTGTGTTCTGAGCCAGAGGGAGGTAATGAGTATTTTTGTCTGATATCAAAACTTTGTAATGTGGCGCTTAATTCTCAGTCTGACACAACAGTACAATCATTTGTTCTAGTCTACAGACTGCAAAATTGCACCTCAGGTGGCTGTTAAGCTCTTCTGGTACTCTTAGTTTGACTGGGCTCCTCACGTTTGAATTGTAGCTCTGTATTAATACTTGACTTGTATATAAAAAGGTAGTGTTATCAGAGCTAAAAACAAAGTCTAAATTTCAAAATCACAATAATTCAAGACAGATAGAAAAGGCAGACAATGTAGCAGAATAAAGCTGTATAGTACATTATTTATGCAATTACTTCAAGAAATAAAACTTTCTTCATATTTTTTATGTATTACCCAAAATCACACACTGAGCCATAATATTAGTATATTCACTTGTTCTGGTGATATCTTCATGTATTCATAATAAGTATTGTAATCAGCAGTGGAAAGAAACTCTTCATAGAAAATTTACAGTGTACAGACAACAAGAGGTCAGGGCAATTAACTGAACAGTAGAGGGCCAAAACCAGAATAAGGTGTTAAAAAATATCATGGGTATAGACTACAGGACATGTTCAAGCACCTTGTGTGAGTCAGTGCTATTCAAAGGGACCAAAGGAATGAATCACAGTGGACCTTAGATGTCAGAGATCATTATACTTGGACAGATCATGTGTTTGCACCTGTCACAGAGCATCTGGGTAGTGTTTTATGATATGTGGATCATCACATTGCCTGTAAGACAATATAATTCCATCAAGAAGAACGTGTGTCATTTCTCCTTAGTCACTGCCGAGGTCAGAGGCACTCTTGGAACAGGGTGTTGGTTTTGTGAGAACCAACTCAATATTACAATGTGAATAAGGCCTTTTGCATGGGGTTTTGCACAAGATAAGGTGTTTTTTAATGGATTGTAGAATGGAAAAATGAACTATCCTTTAAAATTATGTGGCATTTTTAAATTACATCAGCAATTTAAATTATATTAATCCAGCCTCGAACTACCAACATGATCACCATACGCATCTATTATCTAGCAAACTAGGGGTTTCTACTGTCTTCAGTAGCCAAGTGGACCCATATTTTGTGCTTTTAATCGCCCTGACAGAACTCTGGAATTAAGTAAACTGAAAGGCACAGAAGGTGCCAGAGTTAGGCGTAGCACTAGGTCAGTGAAGAACTAGCATATGCCTTGCCTTTTGCACCTTGATTCCTCATTCTGTCCAATCATCATCCAAACAAGATCACCCTTTCTACACCCATATAAAGTTCCCTTATTAGCACAATGTGTTTTTATGTATATCATTAAACGCTATTTTCCCCCAGTTTTCATTATTCTAACATACATGAGACTAGACACCAGTCTCATTGGCAGGATGATTCACTATTGCCTGGAAAGCCTTGTAACTTTATTCAGTGTGTTTGTGGGTATCTGACAGCACCTCAGTACTGATTACTATTGTATGATGTGGACATATAGTCACATTTCAGCACTGGTCTTTACCCGTTCAACTCAGATTATGATCTACGAAAAGTGTTATCATTTGTCTTAGTGCAAACATTACCAAAAATAGTAACAGACAATAATCAATCTTGCAAGAATGAATGAAAACCTTACCACTAATATGAGCCTCAAAGGTTGCGGCACTACCCTCCAGTGCCACAACACTTTGTAACGGCTGTGTGAATGTTGGTGCTTTTGTCGTCATCTTTACAGGCACTCTGAAAGCAACAAAAACGTAATTAGATATCAATGGTGAATCTGTTATTACACACACATCCTTCTTGTTAGATTTTAAGAATATTTGTGATTATTTTCATAACAATTTACTCAGTTATAAATCACATTGACCTGGTGAAGCGTGGTGACTGTAGGTTTAGAAAAATTGTATAGCAAATTATTCTTAGGGCTGTCTTGGCTGAGTTGGATGTGAAAATGTTATATTTAGTGAAGCTGTGATTTAGCATTACAAGAATGCATCAGGAGACAAAGTTCTGCTTGACTCATTGCATGACCTTCCACAGGTCATTTAGCCTGTATTTGTCCATTAATCTTTATCTAAACAGAAAATAATCTCCATGTGGTCTTTTTTTAGATTATTTGAAAATGTTTTGTTAGTGCAAACCATTTGCATTCTCCAGTAGGAAGACAACAAGGTCACTAAGCAGCAACTGAAAAAATTTGAAGGTCTACAATGTTTGGCTTTTGATAATGAAAAGAAATGCCAAGAGACTCTCTCCTACAAGCAGTCTATAAGTAGTAAATAATTTCATTTTACACAGAAGCATATTGGCACTAAAGATGTAGATAAAATTATGTTTTTTCTTAGAGAGTATCCCAGTGGAATTTTGAATATGGGAAGACTACATTGGAAATGTGAGCTAGGATATAAGGTAGCCACTGACACTGATGGTTTGAACAACTGCAGATCCATGTGAAATCTGAAAGAAAAGAAGTTTGCTTTCTCTTCTCATGACACAAGATCCTACTTTGAAATAGCACACTGCCACTAGAAAAGCTTCTGTATCAGGAGTATTTTATATTTCCATGAACATATTTATTTACTGATGTTGAATTGCCCAGGTTTTTAAACGCCATTATATCTTAATAGTATCATACATCTATTCAAGTTACAATTTTTCTCATTAAAAAATTCCCCTGAAAGCATATCAGGTCTTTCTAAATGAGGGTTAACTTCGTAATCTTTTCAAGTCAATCTCACTCACACATTTACTGTTGTTTACTTTGAATTCTGTGCCTGATTTTGTAACAGTCCCAGGTTTAACTTAAAAATTAATAACAAAAGTAAGTTTCTTTCACTATGAGCTAAATTTATGCTACCATTCAAAGACATGAGTTCCTTCATTGAAATTAGTGCCTGATGACTACATACAATAAGCACATAAGAGTAGAGCTGGGTATTGTATTGGGATTTTGAGCTGGTTTTTATTGCCTTTACTGGTTATCTGGATACTTGTTCCAGCTTAACAGAGGAACAGCCCAATTTCAAAGCTTTTCAGCTTCGAGGGTATGGAGGAAATGAGTTCGGATTAGAAATAAATGACCACCATTTTATCCTAACACAACACTAATTTTCTGAAAGGAAGATGAAGACAACTGTCACATGTTAAAATACAGGGAAATAATTTTAAAATATAATTAAACATTATGAAAACTCATACATATATGTAATTTCCTGACTCCAAAATAGATTACAAATAATTAAGTAGAATTGTCATTGAGTTTATACGAAGTTTATATATTTCATTGTCTAGGCAAATTTAGGTGATGAAGGTCTGATCTTATAAGGCTTTTTGTATAATTAGAATTGAAAGCATGCATCTGAAATGTCACGTTCCAGAAATAACCTTCCTGGCTATGAATGACAGCAGACAAGTGTCCCAGAGCTGCCATGTAACTGATACCTTAGCAGATGATTCCCTTAAAAAGTCATCAGTGCTTAGCTGATACCATGTGCATTTTATCAGAGCTATTCTTGGAGCTTCTCAGTTTATCTCTCAGTAGCATAACCTTGAACACTCCCAACAGAAAGGAGGTTTTAAGTTAAGCAGATGTTTACACGCACATTTCAAATCTTAATTTATAGTCTTTCACAATAAATACACTAGAAAAACTTTTTGCTGAGTGTTATTAAAACTTACTCCCAGAAATTTAAGACATGATCTTACCAGAGAATTTAAATGGTCCATGTCTATAGTCTGAAACCTATATCCCCCCTGTGAACAGACTTATAGCTAATAGATTGTATCAGGATTATTAATGACTGATAAAATACTTATTACACCATCAGAAACATGCTACTGACCTGATCTCTCAAAGTGCCTGTAAGAGTGGGCTAAGCCCAACGAAATCTTCTTAAACGACGTCCTTATCCAGAGTAAGATTTTGTTAGACAATCCCAGCATGAGAATTGTAGAGCCTCTAATCATAAAAACAAAACTACACAGTCTTGACAGTGTAGTTTTGTTTTTTTGCAATCCCTACACCCGAGGCGAGGCGGGGAATGCACGACTGCTCAGAAGTGCTAACATAGTTGTTTTGCTTTATATACCCCAGCTCTGCTGTCAAGTCTGCCTCATCATGTCACTGTCAGCTCTGATTGGTTTCCTAAAAGAACATATCTTGTGAGAGGGGATCCATTATGTGTAACCATACACCACCTGTTGGTTTGACTGACAAGGCTAATTTTGGAAGCACAAAAGGGATTCACTGAGGAAACCTCATCTGTTCCAAAGATTTTGATTTATAAATCAATGTCTTTTGTTATGTGCAGTTTACAAGATCCTGCAAATTTCCTAAGTCATAAGCACAAGACAAATAATAAAGAAGCCTTTTAGCAAAGGATATGGACAAGTCATAATCATATCAGTGAGATTCAGCCTTACTTCCTTTCATTCTAAAACATCCAAGAAGCTACCAAATGCTCTGTCAATCACCAGATTAAATAAGTGAGCTGAGCTCAGACATGTGGCTGCACACTATTAGAATAAATTGTTTAAATTATTTTTTTAACATTAAATAACTTTGAATTCTAAAATTGTAATTGGTAATATAGAGATTTGTCCATTTTTTGTTTGCTTGTTTCACAATTTTTCTGTTCACTGTTCCAAGCAGTTAAGCTTAACAAACAGTATCATACAAAGTACAGAAATACTAATTCTGTGAAATTAAATTAATACAGACAACTACTGTAATTTCTAAAAAAAGCGGATTTTTAGCCTAATAGCTTTTTTCTAGACCTGTGTGGGCCTTGTGCAGATCACAGAGTTAATCATCTCTGGAATGGCTTATTAGTTTGTGAAGTTCCAATAGCCCAGCTTCATCAGTCAGTGCAGCTAATTGTATTATTAGAATGTCTGTCTCTGAAACAGAGGTCAGAGTTAGTAGACTACTCTTATTTATAGCTGTAATGGGAGGTGTTTTGCCACACCATCACATCAGCCTGTTTTCCATTGTTGCCATTTTACTGAAAAACCCTTTCCTTCCTTACAAAGTGGAATATCTATAACGCATATCTAGCAAGCACTTTATGCACACATCTGGCTCATAAGACTACTTCTGCGCTTAAATTCAAGCACATGCTTAGCTGTTTTGGAAAATAGAGGAGTTCAGTCTGCTGTTACCAAGATTCGCATTGAAAAGGATCTCCCAGAGGATACCTAGAGAAGTAAACACAGGCTGGAGTTTTGTACTGTCAGCTGCAGTTGTGCTTGCAAACAATCTGAGGGAAACCTCCAGCAGAAGCTCCAGAAAATGCCCAGGAGAGAGAATACCACCACTATGATTCCTGCATGGGTGTGTTATACTATAGATTTCAGGTCTGAAAAGAGCAAGAAAGAACATATTGCTGTGATCTCATAAATAACCTCAGAAATTTGATCTGCCCTTTAATTTATCCATCCCATAAAGTGTCAAATTTATGGCTACTCTTGGCATGCAGCAGTAACAACAGCAACAGAAACTGGAGGAATAGTCTTTACACTGGTACTTTCTGGACACCCACAGAGAGTTAGTCAGAGTCAGCTCATTGTTAATTTTTTTTTTCAAATAGTTGCCAGAGAGCCTGAACTCTCTGGATAAGACTTAGTACAAAAGCAAATGCAACTGTTCATGTTAGCAGGGAGGACAAGATTGCTTCTACTAAAACCAAAAAATGTCGACAGAAATCTGGATATCTAATTTCTGATTCTAAATAGACTTGCTAATTAGCAAATGGCAGGTTTTCTCTGTAGCTGAACACTTAAGTATTCAGTGAAAAATCAAACTTGAAGAAAGAACACAGGCTAGTATCCACAAACTTAATAAATGCAGGCAGCTTAATGATGATGTCTCAGTCAAATAAACAATGAAAAAGTTTATGAATGTGTGATGATTTCAAAATGACAGAAACATGCAAACTGTCGCGTAAAGTTATGAGATATTCAGAAATTCAAATTTTTCTATTTCAATCATGTCAACAACAATTGATAATAATAGTTATAAAGAAAACACTTTGCTGCGTTCAAACACATAAACCAAATATATTTTTAAACTAAGCTCCTTCCTTTTTTTTTTTTACATTTACATTTGATCATTATTAAATCTACTCTCATTCCAACAAAAGTTTATACCTTCTTAACTGTTACTTTTGCTGGTGAATTCAGAAATTAAATTGAACAGTGAAATATTTCTCTCATAACATTAAGGAATATGAATTATTTATAATGCATGTCTTCCGTTAATAGAATGACTATCAATCAGCCCAGTGTGATTTCTACATGTTTAGTGTCACATAGCATATCCACAATAAAAAGCAGAACGATTTCAGTCTTATTGTGTAGTAGATACTGCTGGTAAAAAAGACATTATTTCTTTGCTCCAGGATCAAACAAACAATCTAGAGAATGACAAAGAGTTTTTCAGGCAAACATACAAATTGAGGATCCTTATGAAAATTTCAACATTTGCTTCATTTAAGAAAAACCAGGTAATCTTCAACATGATGAAACATTGTGGTGTGGATACCAGCAACTGCTTTTCATGTGATTCACTTTGATTAATTCTAATAATCCTATCGACTTGATGAGTGGAGCTGCACAAAAGGAACAACTACTTTAGTAGGCCCACATGAAGATGCCCAGTCAGGGCATCAAGAGAAATTCAGTCTTTCTTGAACACTGAAATCTTCAAACTGCCACTTAGGCAAGTTTTCAATGCGCTTTCCTGAAGTGGAATTTCCAAATTTCTTTCTTTCAAATAAAATCACAACCTTTCTTTTTCTTTTTTATTTGTGAAACACTAGTAGTGTACTATGTGCTGTAGCTGCACAGCCAATCTAGCATAAGCCTTTCTTTCTTTCCTGGTCCCTTAATCTATCCACACATGCTAATTTGCAAACAATAAAAGAATCCGTACCTTTCTCATTTACTTTCATACTTCCATTTTTATGTACTCCCTTCATTCTTTGCCCTCTTCTTTCCTATAGAATGTCTTTTATGTCTCCTTTCACAAACTATTTTCATTTCACTCTGCCCTCCAACCAAATATGCAGAACCAAGGGAGTAATGAAACAAATAATTTGGTCACTTTAAATAAAACTTTTCACTGATATAATGCTGTCTTAAATCCTTATAGAACTGACAAAACACAGTCCAAAATGTATCTGGATGTTATATCCTTGATGAATTTCCAGTTTTCTAAAATCTACCTTAAAAAAACAAACAAACTTGCTTTTCCTCCTCCTACCCACTTTCTTTAAATTTAGAAATAACTAAGAAGTTGTTCACTTAACTCCTAAACCATTAAATCCTAACCTGAAAACAGAACACATTTACACCACCTTCATCAACTCCCCTCCCCCCGCAAATGCTATAAATGGGACTTTGTGACAAAAACTTTAGAACCTTAAATAAAGATTATAAAATTCATCATCTTCACAAGAATATCCATGTTTGCGTGCTGAAGCTGGATTCTGAGAAGTTGCAGCACTTTTGGTTGCTGATATCTTTAATCTAAGCTATGGTAACTGATTATGTAAGATATATTATTATTTTTCAAAACAAACTAAAACTTGTTTGCAGAAACTTGTTTTAGTTGTTCTGAAGAAGGCAGTAACTGGAGAGCAAAACAAACAAGATAACTAAGGCACTAAGCGGTTTTTGAAACTAGCTATTTAACGTGAGAAACATGACTAGACTTTAATGGGTATGGATTAGTTATCAGGGCCCATATTCACTAACTTCATGTTGATAGTTGTGATTCATATCTCCTTAGAAATATCTAAGGAGATTTACAGACATTACTTTTCCCAAGTTTTCCTTAGATATTGTTTTGTATCATCCCTACACATTTACATATGCAGAGAAGAAAGGAATAAAAACATTACTCAGCAACTAACCTTAGAAAGCAGGGCCCTACTAAAAAAGCCTGGACAGTGAGTTAAGAGTATACTTAATAACTATTCCACTTCCTCCACAAAGCAATAGTTAATACCGTGATACTTGAGACAATTTTTAATGTGGAGATAGTACTTAGAATTTAATAGAGACATACATCCTGCCAAATTTTGCGGACCTTTTAATAATCTCATGAGCAACTATGATTTATAAAATTAAAAGAATCAAACATACTTACCATGTTTTGTAATGCATCCATTCCCTGGGAACACGTGGAGTAATAGCTGTCTTCCTCATTGGTAAAAGGTTGATGGGGTTTTTGTTTATCTGTTTATAAACACCACTTTCTACTGTTTGTAGGAAAATCATAGGTAAGAAGAGCTATACAGATTTCTGTTTCACCTAGTATTATTTAGAGAAGCATTAACACTCTTTTTTTATTTAGGAAAGTTGTGTTTTGTGAATTCAGGGAAAAAGCCCACTTCAAATATTAAAGTTCAAGTTGCTCTTAGAGGCTGACAACCAAGAGGAAAAGCAAGAACACTCCAGTGTCTTAAATTTGCTGAGGAATCAAGATCAGCAGGCACTGAATTCCACACTTTCATTTTTACAAAATTAATTTTTAAATCAAAAAAGAAATAAAATCTTCTATGTCAAATTTAGGGATTCCAGTTGATAAAAGAACATACCATTTGGAGGTTTTTAATATTTGGGGGTGGGGGTGATATCTGATATGTACTTTGTCAGTCCTCAGAATGTGACTGCATTTAGAAACAGATTTTCTGTGAAATCTTCACATCTAAGCAATATGTGCAAAGAAGGGTCTTAGCAGAAAGGTAATTGTATGAGATACACACAATGTTTGATATTTGTCTCCATTTCACTTTGGAAAAAACTGCTTGTGAGAGATAAGGGGCAAATAAGTAGAGCAAGAACCTCGTCCTCAGCTACTATATTTATATGCATATATACACAGCCTTGTGACTCTTCTGTGGGCAGGATGCCATTGGCTTTTCCATAACGTCAAGCAACTGATTTATGTGATCAGGTGAAGACATGTACATGATATTTTTTTTCAGCTTGTTTCCTCTTTATGTCTGTACTTCAGTTTGGAGATATTTAAGTTTTTAACAGACAACCTGC